GGTCCCTGGTACAAAAAAGGTTGGGGACCACTGATGTACAGACTATCAGGGTCTGCCATAACTGGTTCCATATTCTATCCAATCTTGCTATTCTTATAAAGTTAACTTCCAGCAGAATCATCCAATTTGGGGAGTATGTTGATGGCTTCTATATCTCTTTCCTGCCATCAAGTAATTATCTGGAACTTTGCAAACTTTGAATTTTCCAGTCATACAAACCATACAAGCAAAAACAGTGGAACTCTTTCCTTACAAGCAAAAATAGCAGGACTCTTTACTTACAATAAATCTATGTACAAATTTGTCTATTCTAATCTATTTATCTCCTTGATATGATCAATGTATCCTTCAGCTAAATACATTGTTGCATTTGGACTTAGACTGTATTTCTTAAAGTGTGATTATAATTTACATCCATGCATGAACATAAGATATTATCCAGTTAATTCTGAAGGACATTGATCCTATTTTGTGTTTACTACTAATATATTTTTATCCATTAAACTTGCATTAAACCAATGAAATATTAAAAAATGATGTTCTGGACAGTAAGCAGAAACTTGTTTGAAAAATAAACTTTGGATGATCAGTCCTAAGGTTCTCTGAAGGCTAATAAATTAACTCCACAATAATCAGAATCTTTAACATCAATTTTCAAGTGGCAGATTAAAAGTAATCTTTCAAGTCATATTTTTAAAGTACACAAATGAAAATCTATGTTACTAATAACATTTTCATAATCAAAACCAGTATCATACATCGATGAATTCAGAATGTTAATAAAGATTATTTTGAATAGAACCTAATCTAAAAATAAAAATATTCACCATTATGCCCCCAAATTATATAAATGAATAAAACAGTCCTATATATCTATCAAACGTATGCTGTATGGATATATTTACTGAATAGTAGTTTGTAAACTGATCCGAATGGCCTTCTAATGATTTTAAGAGTATTCCCCAACATCAGCAATGTTGTGTTGATTTCAACTCCCAGTTTGAATTTTCCAGTAAGCATGGCAAATGCTAAAAATTCTAGGAACTGAAAACACACACCTTCAAGTTGCTAAAATTTATAATTTTATGGATATCCTACTCTAATCAATAAAGTATATTTCCAGGTGCCTAGGGTACTAACCTATTTTGGGTGACTGAGAAGGTTGAAATTGCCTCCGTTCAGCTTGAGGTTCCAAGATATCTCTGTATTTTGATACCATGAGTACAGAGATAAAATACACTACAGCCAAAGCCAAGAACTGTGCCTGCTTACTGTCCTCCTGAAAAGACAAAAACAAATAAAAATTATTTTGTTGTCCTACACCAAGACTTCAATTACACATTACTATCACAAAATAATATCCTCAAGGAAATTACAAAAAAAATATCGCACAGATTTATTTATTAGGGCTGTGTGAATCACACGGAGTGATTCTTTGGGAAGCAAAATATCCCTTCAAATCTGTTGCTCGATAAAACAGCTTACCACAACTGTTTCACAGAGCTCCCCACAATGTCTTATGGTGAGAACATAAGCAAAAACTCTTTATCCAGGACTAGCAGTGGAATTCAGAATTTATTTAAAATTTGCAGAAGCACATTTAGAACTCTGCATTTTTACCCATTTAATGCTGGAATAAATTCTAATCTTTGCTAATCACATATGTTGATAAAATGGCAGAACATTTTATTTTATAATTTTGAATGTTCTGTTACATAGAGACATAGAAACATTCTAATCTAGGTAATTGATATTTTTCTAGTTTTATATTTGAGTGAAGTAAAACATCTACAGCTTCAGAAATCTATTGACATTGGGAAATATTCTATTGGCATTCGACTGACATGTATTGGTGATGTACTAAAAATATTTGGACTCATTTCAGTCCTATTTGTTAAACAGAAAGAACTTGGGCTGTCAGGATGGTTTAACTACTGTAGGAACACAGTGATAACATTCTGGTCTTTAATACATTCCAATTAAAAAATATTCACAAAATTGAATCCACCTGCAGAAACAACTGTTAATATGATCTTAAGCTTTTCATTTGATCTTAATTCTCGATTTGCTATTCCCACAGTATTTTACAATTCTTGTACATGCACTGTTAGATTTTGGCATCATGGGATGGTGCATAAGTTTAATAACTATACATGATTATTAAAAGAAAGAATTAAATAGGAAAAATTGCTCACTATATCTCTGAATACCACTGCACGGAGGCGATTAATATCCATATCCTGTAGAAGTCTGTCAATATCTCTTATTGGAGAAATCCCTCCAGTTACCATATCAACTGGACTCTGCTCAAAAGTAAAAAAGCATGTATTACTTATTTTTGAAGATCTATCTATAGATCTATCTATATCTATATCTGATGAAAAATCAATTAAATTGTAGTTTTTCAAATGTTTATATAACGTTTGAAATCTGTATACCACTCTTATGTCTGTGATTGTTAGCTGGGCAAAATGAGGCATCATAGGGCAAAACCTCGTCAACAAATGTACCTCAAATGGGCTAACTTACAGAATGCCAGGATCCATTACTTCTGAGAAAATGAAATTTGAAGAAGTTAAAACGACTTCAGTGGCTCAGCCACTGCTATGGTCACATGATCCTCATTTCCAACATTCTGTAGCAGCTTCTCAGCCACTCACACAATCCTTCATTCACTCCCTCTGGGGAGGGAAGAAGGGAAAAAGAAAGACACGAGGGAGGGAGGGAGGGAGGGAGGGAGGGAGGAAGGAAGGAAGGGAGGAAGGGAGGAAGGAAGGAAGGAAGGAAGGAAGGAAGGAAGGAAGGAAGGAAGGAAGGAAGGAAGGAAGGAAGGAAGGAAGGAAGGAAGGAAGATATCTGAAGGTCAATGCCAGCTTTCCATGAAGAAATTCAATGAGGAAGTCAAAAGGAAGTAGAACTTGCTTCTCTTCCTACTGACTTTTTGTCCACTCATGGTCATTCTGTTTTAGGTAAAGAAATATATCTGAAATGATTATACATGATCCTTATTTACAAGGTTCCCTGACACATTCTCACAAGCCAAGCCAGGGAAGCTTGCAGAGAAATTATGTGACTGTGGCTGATGGCAGACACTGCGTTTGGACTTGCTACTTTCTTCCTAGGAAGCTTGCCGGGGAAAAGTCAATGGGGAACCTTACAAGCAAGGCCACCAAGTTGCCCGGGTAAGTCTCCCCAAACACACTTACTACCAGTCCCCTTGCACTCATGCCATGCTGAGCAGCCTTGACTCAGTAGATCATGGTTGTCTAGTAATAAAATAAAAGTGGGCAAAGAAACTAAAAGTATTTATGACTTACATTTAGTACATCTTTCTTCCTGAAAAGTGACAGCATTTATATGTAGAATTATTACATTGTATATACAACTGAAAATAGATGTCTAGTAATTAAACAACCATACTTGGTTTTTTAATACCTACATTAATATAAAAAGTCACATAAATGTATTCATCAGGATAGAGAGGGAAAAAAATCATTTGCCAGTATTGATTTAAAAAAACACCCCACTTGCCTTTGCTCCAGTCCTTCCTGAGGCTATAAGGCTTTGTATTGTTTTCTGATGCTTAACGTTTTCTCCACTAGGCTTCATTAACATATGCTGTTGCTGACATTCCAAACAATTTCTGACGGCTACCGCACATACTAAAATGAAAGGATACATTTTAGGGACTGCTAAATTTCAAGCAATGCAACATGCAAGTAAACATAACTAGCCTAAAGATAAAGGCATACATCTCATAACAATGAGATTGCTTATAATCTAAAGAATCAAGTCTTTTAAAACTATATATGTTTCTATTGAGATATTTAATTAATTTTCAGTTGTGTGATATTTCATTTTCCTACTTTGTAATTACAATGGAATGTGTTAAACATTCAACATTGCTGCAATCTGATTTCCAAAATGCCCCATTTATCTCCAATATTCTAAGGGTGAGTCATCTATTTTTTGAACTGGATTTTCAGTCTGAAAGCAGTTTCTGATGTTATAGACATAATATGTCATGAAGCATCTAGAACATTACATGGTTCTGCACCATCTACTTGCAGAAATGCATGACTCATCTCTAGAACATTGTGATTGGCTATTCTAGAATGTTTTGCATATAAGATTCAAGAATTTCTAATTCCTTCTAGAGAGGAAAAAAATAATTCCTTTTCCACTCTGCAGAACTTTTCTCCAATCAGCCCTTTTTATATAAATGCCCATTAGATCTCTAGATAGATACAGGACCATTATAAATTTGATAGGAATTTTTTTTGTGAACTTATTTAAGATAACTTATCAAAGATAAAAAAAACATCTCAATGCTAGACAACTATTTGCTTACCAAGTCGAAGACATTGCCGTAAAATTCCACCAGATGACATATTTTTCTCTGACTCAATTTCATTAAATCCAAGGGAACTTGCAAAGATCAGTACATCCACAAGGCTAATTAGTCTTTGAAGGAATGCTATGGAAGCTTCCACTGATAATCCTTGAGTTGGCTCAATTCTTTCCAATTCATGCTGGAGAATGGAAAATGATTTATTTTTATATATGTGTATTCTGGTTGTGTATGCACATATTTATATATGTGTATTCTCTAATGTGTATTCTGGTTGTGTATCAAGTAGATCTTACTTAGCAACTGCATCAGGCAGCAACTATTTGAAGCTGCAATAACGAAGCATGGGTACCAAGCTACTAAAGGGTCTATCAGGAACTCTTTATGCTAGCCGGCACTAATATAGTCCTTCCAATTATATTCCCCATTGTTTGTATCCTGACTTTCTTGTAAATAAATATAATAAATATAAACTACAATAAACATAATAAATATAAACTCAAACATTAATTCCCTTTTTGCTAGTTATCCCACCACTAGGTTAAGCATTCCAAAGGATGAGGCGGTGGGGAAAAGCGTAAGCTGCAATAAAATTGTAAGCAGTCATGGTCACATGATTTTCCATAGTGGCATTTAGCAACCAGGATTTTAATATTTTCTTAGTGTTTTAATGATTAACTCTTCTCAATATTTACCTTAATGTTCTCTAAGTTTTTTTCTGTTGTATTGATGCTTTCTGTAAAGTTGCTGTGATTTATAACGTGTTATAATTATTTTATATAATTTTAATATTCCCTTAAAACACAGCATTTTGTTCCAATAAATAATACAAAATAATAATTTTTCTTGTTCCAAAAGTTCTTCCTGAAAATGCAGGCTCTGCTTTTTCTTCTTCTACTCCCCACTCCTCGGATCAACTGAGTGTTCAAGGAATTGACCAACTGGCTTATTGTCTGAGACTGACCTTGTGGGCTGAAACAAAGTGACTGGTCTAAAGTCACCCAGCCAGCTTTCTCTTGCTATACTCTTGGTAGCTTTGTGCCTTAATCACTAGACCAAATAATATAAATAATTTCTATTATTTATAAATAATATAAAAGAAAACTATTTCAAGAAGCAAATATAACTTTAAATGAACTTTATTGCCTAGGTATCATAATAAACGAACTTTAAATTACTACAGAGAAAGATCTAAAATAGAAATAAAATGGACACATATTTCAGCAAAATTGTAAAAAAAAAATAAGCCAGAATGTGATTGTAATTTCCCCAAAAAAAGTGACCAGTGATGGACACATTCTTGGGAAAGAAAAAATTATTAGAAAACATGCCAACAGCACAGAGATAATCTAGCCCTTTTCTGGATACAAAACCTCTATGTCAGTTACTTCTAAAACCCTCTGTAATTCCTGCCTATTCCCCAGAAAATAAATTTATGACAGCACATGCCACATTCTTGTTTTCAGCGGACAGTCATGATGCCCTATTATATATAGCTGAAGGAACTGCATCAAAGTCATGGTGTCCCTTTGGGACTTCTGAGAATAAGGGGTAACATATGACGGTAAAAGTGCATGAATAAATCACCATTCCTTAACTGGCAACTTGGTTCAAAAATTTGTGAATCCAGTCTTAAACTAATTATGAAATGTCCCAAATTATTTTATTCTATGGTAGACCTCATCAGTAAACCAAAATTACATTTATGATAAAATTTTAACAGCAAAAAAGATTAGAAGGGCCAAAAACACTGAATAGGCTCCCACTCCAATGTGGTATCCCCTTCAAAAATTGTTTCCTGGTCTTGGAAGAAGCTATATGCACAGATGATAAACTGATATGCCATAAACATATATAAATGGCAGTGTTTCAATCACATGGCTGCAACTGTTATCTTACCCTTTTGCTCTCCTTACATACGCCCTGGATGATACTAACATGAGCACATTTGGGCAAGGAAGGGAAAGAATCAGATTGATTCCAAGTATCTCAACTTTAATAGACTTAAATTGGGTATGAGATAATGTTTTCATATATCCTTTTTCAGTCAATGAAAAGAAAGGCAAAATGAAGTCTATGTCACATAATTCAGTTTTTTAGTGTTGGCTCACAGAACAAATCCCCCCGCCCCCAGCAGAGCCCTAAGCAAGCATACTTGAGCATAATTTTAGTTTAGTATAATCCAATGCACAAAGACACAAAGCACCACTTGGGTATTAGAAACTGAATTTCTTACCGTAGCAGATGTAGCAGCTGAAAGCAAAGGTAATATGCCACCACAAGCCATAATCATATTGTCCATCACTTGAGAGACAAGATGAATTGTGTTATGTACAAAGATGACATTATCACTGCTGTTCACGAAGTCCATCACAGTCTTGGTAGAATGACTGCTCCAAAAGAAAATATACAGGACATACATAATTCCTCTTGCAGTGTTACAAAGTACTTATTTGTTAAAGTATTATTTACTTATATCAACCAAAACATTTTCCTGCAGCCAAGAATCACACATCAGCATTCTAAGTTACCACTGCATCTTTCATCTTAACTTGAAAATGCCTTCTCCTTATCCTTCTAATTTTCACCAGAACATAAAACTCTAGAAGCTATGTTTAAGTATGTGGTGAATATTTATTATTAGGAACCCTAATTATCTAATGCCTGAAAAAAACAATGAATAAATTATCAGATTTCTCTTGAGGGTCACTTAAGACAGTGAGATGGGTGGTGTTTAAATATGATAAAATAAATTAATAAAGTAGATCTCAACTCATACCCCCAAGAGGAAACCAGTAACTTATAAAGATATTGCACACTTCACTTTCTAAGCAAAAAAAATTATAAAAATGGAAAGCATAAAAAGAAATTTAATTCCTGTTACAACAAATAAATGCAATAAATTCCTTCTATTTATTGGACTTTCACCAAAGTACTCACTGCATGTAATTTAATATATTTTCATTTTGGTCACTCAACAGACTAAAACTGAAGAACTGAGTATTCCAAAGGTGCTTTTTCAAAAGGCAACTGGACTTTGTTTTTCCCTGAAGACATTTCACTTCTCATCCAAGCAGCTCTTTCGGTTATGAGTATTCAGAGTTCACTCAGAACTGAAGAAGCTTCTTCGATAAGAAGCGAAACATTTTCAAGGAAAAACAAAGCCTAGTTGCCTTTTGAAAAAGTATCTTTGGGACAACCATGACCTGGATGACTAAGAAACTCCATAGGGTAAGTTCAGATTGGACAGTTGGACAATAGTCCTCTCTATTCATCTCTAACCTCTCACAAAAGATTTTCTAATATTTGATTCTGTTTTTTAAATAACATCCTAATGCTCAAGAGAACATCTTGTGCAAGGCAACCAGTAATTCTGGATGTTGCTGAACCTCATTTAAAAAAGCTATCAGTGTTTCAGTAAAAGAGAACAAGTTTGAAAGGAAAAAACAGCTTACAGAATTGAGTTTTGAAGAAGCACTTTTTTTCCTGTTCAAATTAAATAAAATCACAAGGGAAAAATGTAGAAACAGTATATTTTTAATGCAATGCAATTCTTGATCCTAAACAATCCTTGAATTATATGAAAACATTATTCAGTCAAGGGATACTTTAAGAAAAGATTCAACATGTGTAGCATTTCAGAAGATGCTAATGCAACCTGATCACAAAAGGCTCCAATTCAACTTTGAGAACTGAGTTATATATTACAATTCATTTTACTATGTGAAATACCTAAGATTTTGTAGACATTACCTTCTCCACATTTGTACATCTGTTTCTATAGAAAAGAGAAGATCTGTAAGCAAGCGCTGATGCATTTGAGACCATCGGAATTCAGGGATACGGAACATGGTAGTTCTAGAATCCTTCCTCTGCCCATCTGAAGGAGTTGCTACATTTTGATCTGATGAATCATACTGCCTAGACGTCTTTGTAAACAATATATGTTGAGAAAGATAAGTCAAGCTGAAGATCACACTGCAAATTTCATCTGAGCAGATATCTAATTCCAGGAAAAGCTGTTCATACTCTAGAAGGTATGATATAGTCAATACTAATTTTATAAAATCATGATTTGAGGACTAAGCTTAAGCAGTCATATCAATTCTCTATACTACTTAGCAACTATGCCACCATCTCTGCCAGCCAATGTAAGAATAAGCAGCAGCTAGACCTTACCACATAGGGTGCATATATTGCTGCTGCTGCCTGTGATTTTCCTCCTTTGAGGAAGTGTGATGTAACTTGATGATTATCCATTGGAAGATATTTCTGCAGGAGGGAAGCACTTAGGAACATCACTTTAATTAGGAATAATGCATAAGTGATGCAAATACATTCTTTTTTTTAATTATTAAAACAGCTTAATACAGAAAATTATGTGGCATTTTAATCTCAGCCTTATAATATTTGCAGATAAAACATATAATCTATCTAGATCACTTTACAAATATGTTAGCATTCATAATTATAACTGCCATAAGCAGACAAGACATTTTCGCATACACACACACATTCACAAATCGTGCTATCTGGCAAATGTTTTTAACTTACTTAAATAGATAATAGTGCAAAACCTACCTCAGAAATGGCGCGAGGAGGCTGATTTACTTCTGGATTTGCATGGGGCTTTAATTCTAATCTTTCGGTATCTGATGCAATGCTGGAAACGTCAAGTCTGGCAATTTTCTTATCTGAAGCAATTATTGCTTCTGAGGTCTGTGGTTGTGTGCTATCTACAACTGTCTTGGTTTGGGGTTGATTAGTATTTTTGTCATCAATGTTATTCTCAGTGTCTGAAGTTGACTGAGCTCTGTTTATTTCAGGACCACTGGTTTCTGGCAAGCAATCCTGCTGTTCTGTTTCCATTGATCCTTCAACAACTGATCCTTCAACAAGTTCAGGTACTACTTCTATTGAAACAGGTTCTTTTGAAGAAGCAGTGCACTGCTGTCCAACTGAGGTTACCTGGCTATCGCACAAATCATGTTCCTCAATGGGTTTTGGAACACATTGTTCTGATGTAAGTGCCAGATTAGTCTCCTCTTTTAAATCAACAAAATCTTCATCTTCCTCCACATATACTTCTGGTGTTACATTTTCTAACATTTCTGGGCTTTCTAGTGTTTCAACATTTTCTAAAGGTGATTGTGAATCAGTGGTACTTATTTCTTTTTCTTCATGGTTTATTCCAATAATCTCAGCAGTATGTTCTGAGCTCTGTTTCGTCACTTGAGCTTGTAGGGGAAGATCCAAACTAGGTGCTTTGTTTAAACCAAGAGTTTTCTGGATATTTTCTGTTTTGTTTTTTTCTTTGTTTGTTTCTAAAGTACTGTGTTCTTCAAAATCAGGTAATCTACTTTCATCTTTCATAACGCTGTTGTTCATGCTTCTGTTGTCAATATCAACTGCAGAAGTGTCGGCTTCTTTTTTTTCAAGAAGATGGAGTTTCTCTGTAACTTCAGCATCTTTACTAATACCTGAAACTGTTCTAATAATGGATGATGGACCAGCACTGCAGGATTCGTCTCCTTTCTCTTCATATTCCCTGAACATCTGAGAAAGGTTCTGTTTATGTATTTCAAAAGTTACCTTTTAAAAACAGAACGGTTGGAAATGTTTTAATTTTAAAATATTTAAAGTTTATGTCTTGCTATATTTCCCTAGTAATATATAGAAGTTGGTAAAGTAATTGTAAATGTATATAAATATCACAGTATTCATAAAAACCAGTTAGATAGCAATTACTATGTTTCAGTCTGGTTTTAATGGAGTGAGTTTATGGTTTCATGGATACAGTATGTTGTAAGCTACCAGACGTGGTAGAATAAAAATACTTAAGTAGATAAACCCATATCATTATTTAGATTGAACACTTAATCATTATTTTTCTATAGTTAAGAGTAAATAAATCAAAATAAATCAATGTTCAAATCTAGAAGCATTTGGGCTGGAAAAAGCTATATGTCATGTCTTAATCAGCCACATTTCCATATCTATTTATGAGCATCCTGTACTCAACAATAGTTCTTTTTATGTATTTATTGTAGGGCAATGAGGACAGTATTTTTAATATTAATCCACTTATTCAGTTCCAATTGGATCCTTCCTTAAAGTTAAATTGTGATTATTTAATGGTACAGGCATTGCCTCTATGGTTGGTGGTACTTTATGGGGTTGCTAAAACTGCAATATCATTATTAGATTTTTATTATACAGAAAAGAAAGTAAAAGAAGAGGAAGAGATTGAGGTTGATGTAAATCTGGGACTCAGAGGAACCATATCTCAGCACTAGAGGCATAGCACCATAAGGCCTGTTGCTGCTGCTGACATTTCAGTTATGGATACTGAGCACCTAGTTTGCAAACACATTGTTACTGACACACCAAAACCAAAGAGATAGAAAAAAATCAAATTGTGTTGACAGCACAACTAACTTTGCAATCAAGATCTGATTAGCTCCATCACAGTTCAGAGAGAGATTCAAGTGTATAGTATACATACTCTACATCATTTAATTTCAAATATACAATTTCTATCTGGTAAAAATTAGACATAGGACCTACATCTGTGATTGCCTGGACCTATATAAATTATCATGCCAAAAACATTTCTGCCTTCTACTAACTTTAAGACTTAATCTATGCCTGACAATATCTTTGAAAAACAGAGTTAGAATCATTTTAATTTGTAAATCGTCATGCTTATACACATTTTCTGTACATTGTGTTCCTACTACAGAATCATGACCTTTCCTAGGGCATTTTATGGCTCTTGAATTTCATGCTCCGAACTAAGTCTTTACCTATCAAGGTCACCACAGATACTTTTGCCAATGTCAACCTTTGACTGTTAATTTCTTTGTGAACAGGACAATTTTGAAATGATAAAAAATCATGAGAAGCAAATTCTCTCTTTTCATTGGGAATTAGAATATATACCATTTTGTAAGAAAGGTTTCCAGGCATGTCACGTTTCAATAATCTCTTATCTGTCCAATACCGAGTTGATATCAGGCAATTCTAGCTCTCTATTTCACTCAAACATTCTTACTACTTCATCATTGTCTTATATATAGCAAATTTTATGTAACTATTAAAAGATAAAAATTAAAATGGAAGGCTATTTTTATATTTGAGATATTTAACATATATTTATCATACTTATTTTATATATAATTTAAACTTCCATATTGCTATAACAATTCATCTAACAAGTAGGCCACAAAATATTGTTAAGATAGCAGGGAGCCTATGTTTTAATTTCATCATCATCATCAGAGAAAACAAAGAAAACGATGGTAAGATAAAATCCTTAGTGATCCGAGTTTCACAACAGCTGTTTCTGAACCAAATGTGAATCAGTATTTTCTCCTGGTTGCTATCATGCATTTTTCCATTTTGTTCACTCTCTCTTATCTATGTCAGCAATATATATTTTTCATTCATCTTGACAAAGGTGCAGTGAACTGAGAGATATATAGCTCAATTTTTTAAGATTCATTTCCCAAAGAGCTAACCTAAGCCCTATAGAGTTTTTCATCACCTAACTTGGTATCTGCAGCCTTAAATATTCCCTTAGGCAAACGAGTTTCAGGGCAATATGCTTTGACAAGGAAATTCATGGACACCTTCTCATTCAGAAACAGGATACGCATTCTATCCTGAATTTCTGTAAAATTGTATTGTTTAATGGATAGATGAAAAAGGAACAAATCACAAGTTAAACCTTGCAGAACATCTTTTTTGTAAAATCAGCATTTTATTAGTAAAAGCACAATTTCATTTTTCTTCAGAATGCTTATAAAGTGGACAAAATGGTGTTTGGAATTATTTGAGGTTAAAATATGTATGATCTTGAGTCCAGATTTCCATGAAAAACTCTCAAGGTACAATTCAATATTCAAAGCAGATGAAGTAACTGAAAACAGTTTTACACTCAAACTACTTATCCTTATATCTATTATATCTAAACAGCACTAGCTACAAAATCAGATTTTACATACTGTAAATGTCTTGCTGCAGTTGCTTCATAAATAATTGTAGCAACAGATTGTGACAGTTCTCTCTAAGATTGTCTTCCAGCCACTGCTGCATATTGACTATAGCAGAGTTGAAATGTTGGAAGCCTTAATTGCTTAGTATTTTGGACAGGAATTGTAAGATTGTAAGAATGAGCTGAAAGCATTACCTTGGAAAACAACCTGGAAGAAATGCTTCTCTAGGGATGTGAATTTTGCTGTTGAATGTTGTTGTCTAGAATTCACTAACTCTGCCAGCCACATGAAAACACAACTTAAAGGAGGCTTCCGGTTTGAGTTTCTTCGGCGACAGACCGAAATCTGCGATCATGAGCAGTTTCGATCTGTGCTTGCCACTGGAGTGCCCCAAGCCAGCTGGTTTTGGGGCTAAGCTACCCTGTAGAGGTGGTGAAGAGGGGGGAGACTGCCAGAAGGGTCGAGGAGAGTCGCATCTCTCCTCCCCAGCTGGCCATTACTCCCCTTCCTAAAGGTGGTTGCAGCGGTGGTCAGAAATGGCCACTTCAAAGAAGAACTCAACCGGAAAAGAATGTGCAGGAGGAAGATAAGAGAAAGTTTTGGCTGACCAGGTTGAACTGAAAAAGCAACAATATAAGGTACCCTGGAATTTGAATTATAAAGAACAACATTGTTCCCAAAGAAGACTTTGAAGTGGCAAATGAGAGAGGGAAGGGAAAGGATTTGGTTTTTTTTTTCTTTTCTTCCCTATATTGACAACTAAGAGATTTAAGCAAGAAACCGGCAAAAATCCACTTTGACAGTAACAGGTATTTAAGCTGAAAATAAAATGTCAAGGGGATAATAAAGATTTCTGGATTCTCAAAAACTTTTAAAAAGAAGGAAAAAAACAAAAGGGTGGGATCTGGAAAAATAGAGGAGACCACCTGGAAGTGAAAGAATTAACAGTGAAATTTTAACAAGATTCCTAAAAGATACATTTTAACTGAAACTTTCTAACAAGATAAGAGAAGGAAGAGAAAGTGGAAAAAAGAAGCAAGAAGAAACAGCTTTGGATTATTTGGATTACTTGGTGATTTTTGGATTTTTGGCTATTGGATCTAAAGGACTCAAATTAATTGGGTGGTTGTTTAAAAGTTTTTCAACTCTTGGAGGAACTGAGAATGGAACTTAAAAAACAGAAAGAAGATGCACAAGAAGGAAGAGGTTCTTTTGGCTTCGTATTTCATTTTTTAGAAATGGAGATCCTGAACTATGAGAAACAAGAAGAAATGCCTGTAGAACAAGAAGGGAGGGACAAAAAAGAAGCCATCTTCAATGACCAAGTATTTCTATGTGGGGAAAAGAAAGGAAAGGGGGAAAGAGAGTGAAAAATTTAAGATTTGAAAAAACAACCCAAAAAAAAGAATAGTTTGAAAGGTAATTACAACATTAGGAAGAAACAGAAAAGAGGATTACAGAAGAGAGAATCAGAATTAGAGAGGGAAGGGGTCAAAAAGGGAAGGGAGAAGAAGAGGGGGAAGAGGGAAAGGAAAAGAAATTATAAAGGACAGAAACAGGACATAGAGAAACAGGGAAAACGTACAAGGATTAAGGGTATAAGCCTATTTAGAAGACATGGAGATAATGGGTGAAAACTTAATTGAAAGGGGGATTCTGCAAGGGGTTAAGATAGTATTGTTATATTAGAAATAGAAATGAACTTTGAAAATATGAAACAAGTGTGATGAAAATGATAGATAAAATACTCATTGTAATGTAATGGAATGTTTAATAAATAAATGAAATAAAGAGAATGACAGAATGAAATTAGGAAAGGAGGGGAACATTTTAATTATTATAAATGTGTTATAAAAATTTAAGTGAATGAGGAACATGAAAAAAATATGGAAATATTATAAGTGTTCCTTGAAGTATGATACCCTATTGAAAAGAAATGTTAAAGTTGTCAAAGATTATAACTAACATTAATGATAGAGCTGAATTGGAATATAATATTTTATTAATTATTTATATATATATATATATATATATATATATGTATATATATATATATATATATATATGTATGTATGTATGTATATATTCTCTTTAAGAACAGTGCATATTTTAAGAATGTACCAAGCAGAATTCGACTGGAAGTTATGTGTTATATTGAATGTTATAATTGTAAAGGCATAAATTGAAGTTTAAATAAGAGTTGAATTGATAAAAATTAAAAGATACAAAGGTGTCATACTGCAATTAGTAACTACAGGGAAAATTTTTGTTTAATGAGAAAAGAAAATATGAAATTGAAACAGGACAGACAAATGTATAAATATAATGACTAGAAAGGTATTGAAACTTAGAAAAAGATATATATAATTGAATTTGAGATAATTAAAAGTAAGATTGGGAAAACTAAAGGAAGGGAAAAATTATTGAGAAAATGTTAAAATAGTAATAAGATATGGAATAGAACACAAAGATGAATATGAAATTGAATTTGTGTCTGTATGGAGAAGCGATAACCCGGGGCCATGCTATTCTCAAAAAAAGAAATTTTACTTGTATTATTTTGTGTGAAAACCCAAATAAAATTTTTATTTAAAA